AGGGAGGCTGTCGCTCGCTGCCCAAGCTATGCTAGTTACCACTTTCTGGCATAAGGATCTGACAAAAGGGAAAAAGTGGAACGAACGGACCATCTCTGGCCAGGTCAAGGCCAAAGATAGTTCGATACTCACAATGGAGGGAGGTGGTGCAAAGGAGGTCCCTTACACTAATATTGAATGGGGACTAGAAGAGGAGGTCAACAACGGGGTAGAGAAGGGGAGTACCTACTCTGCTGTCGTGGTTGCAGGGAGGCCGCAAGGAGGAGGACGAGGCCGAGGCAGGAATGGCCAGGCCTCAGGTGGCCGAGGACAGGGCGGCAAGGGGGTTGGCGACAACAAGGACCGCCAAGCGGGAGGCAGGGGTCAAGATCCCCCGTCTAACCGTCCGCGTTCTAGTCGGTCACCTTTCAGAAGAGGAGCGTGGCACCCAGGACAGTCCGAAGGGCGGCCCTGGGAGGATTTGGGAATAGGGCAAAATGTCTTGCACGACTGTGTAGACAAATATCAATGCATGTTGGCATATCATCAAATTCTGCCCAAAGTATAGGGATCGTGCTGCATCTGGGGCAGCAAAAGGCTACTGCCGATAGGGGTAGCAACTACCCCTACCCCAGGAGTATGTGGAGATGAGAGCGCGCACGAATTAGAAACTCCCACTCCACGTATCTCCATGGCAGTGGTTGCTGGCCACCGTCTAGTTAGCTTCCTAGAGACTGCTTGTGTTAGGGTCTCTCTAGATGCTTCCCTCACATGCCTAGCCGAAGAGTTGAAGGAGAGAAGGCTGGCTTGGGCCAAAATGAAGAAGGAAGGAAAAGGGCAGCTTATCCTCGCAGATATAGAGGTCTTTAAAGCTAAAGTAAGGGCCCTTATAGCCAGTGGGGCCACCAAGAGTTATATCAGTCGTAAAGCGCTGAAGAAGTTAAGGCTGGGCCTTAAGGTCCGAAAATTGAAAGATCCTGTAGTCAGCGTCCTCGCAGACAACCGCACAATGCGGGTCAAGGAATATGTAGAGGGAGTCCAAACGTACTTTCGCCTAGAGCAAGAAGGCAAGGTAGAGAAAGTTCTTCACCCCCTGACTCTCCTCGTAGAAGAGGCAATCCCATTTGATATAGTTCTTGGAACAAATTGGGGAGAGGCAGCCAGAGCCACATTGCACCTTAGAGAACACGAGTGCAGGCTCCCTAGTCCGCCGGGTGAGGTCAAGAAAGCCCTCCTATTCCATGCGTCAGAACAAATTGGGGAGAGGCAATCGGGGCCGCATTGCACCGTAGAGAACACGAGTGCAGCCTCCCTAGTCCATCGGGTGAGGTCAAGAAACCCGCCTATTCCATGCGTCAGGAGTTGACAACTCTTTGGCGCATTGCTGCCTTAGCGCTCCTTCATTTGCTAGATTCATCAAGAACGAGCAGCTAGGGGAACAGGTGTTCGTAGCTTATGTCAAATCAGTTTCTGACCGGCCAAAGGAACAGAAAGAGATTCATCCTACTATTGTCAGTCTGCTGGAAGAATACAAAGATTTATCTGAAGCACCCTCAGGGGTAGTGCCAAGACCCATCGAGCATCGCATAGAGATAGAGACTGGCAGTAGAAAAGGGAAAGTCTACAGAATGTCTCCTAAGGAATTAGAGGAGCTTCGCAAGCAATTAGATGAGCTCCTGGAAAAGGGATGGATTAGGCTGAGTTCATCACCTTTTGGTGCACCTGTCCTTTTGTCCCCAAGAAAGAGGGGGAGTTAAGAATGTGCATAGAATACAAAAGTCTGAACGCCATAACTGTCAAGAATGCAGAACCATTGCCCTGTATAGATGATTTATTGGATCGGGTACAAGGCTGCAAGTATTTCACAAAGGTAGATTTGAAGTTGGGATACCACACACCCTGACGATCAATACAAGACGACGTTCCGAACTAAATATAGGCATTACGAGTTCATAGTAATGCCTTTCGGACTAACTAATGCACCAGCCACATTCCAACATTGTATGAACGACCTGTTTAGACCGTGGCTAGATAGATTTGTTGTAGTCTACTTAGATGTATTCAGCAAGACCCTCGAGGAACATGAGAGCCATCTGAGGCAGATCTTGGAGAAGTTGCAAGAGGTTAACTTCAAGATCAACGCGGAAAAGTGTGAGTGGGCGAAGACATAAGTTCTTTACTTGGGCCACGCATTAGATGGAGACAACATTAGGCCGGAGGACGACAAGATTGCAGCGATCAGAGACTGGCCAACTCCTCGCACTCTGACTTAGGTCGTTTCTAGGACTGACCAACTCTTATAGGAAGTTTCTAAGGAACTTGTCTGCCATCACTGCTCCCCTTCGCAGACTCCAAGGAAGGAAGCAGTCCGGAAGTGGGACCAAGATTGCACCTCGTCTTTGAAGAAGTTGAAAAAGGCTTTGGTGGAGTATCCTGTCCTCAAAGTAGTTGATCCTTCATTACCCTTTGTCGTCACCACAGACGCAAGTCAGTATGGCATAGGTGCTATGCTACAACAAGATGACGACAATGGTTATAGACCCATAGAGTTCATGTCAGCTAGGCTGCCTTCAGAAAAGGTAGCAGCCTCTACATATGAGAGGGAACTCTACGCTCTCAAGCAGGCCTTAGATTATTGGAGGCATTACCTGCTTGGGAGGGACTTCAAAGTATATTCAGACCACGAGACACTAAGGTGGCTGAAGACACAAGCCAAGATGACGCCCAAGTTGATTAGATGGGCAGCTGAAATAGACCAATTTGACTTTTGAGTTGAAGCAAATACAACGTGGTAGCCAATGCTCTGAGTAGAAGGCCAGATTACTTCGGCGCGTAGGGGCGGACCTGCAGCAAAGGATAAAGGATGTGTAGGATCAAGATCCGATTTACAGTGACTTGCTAAAACGAGTGAAAGAAACCTCTGATAGTGAGCCCAACTAACGAACCACGAACGGGGTACTGTTTGAGAAGACCAATGTCGTTGACGAACCGTGCGTCCCCAATAATGAGGAGATCCGTAGCTTGATCTTAGGGGAATGCCATGATACAAAAAGACACTTTGGTTGGCAAAAGCCCTTGGCCAACCTTACGATGTCGTATACGTGGCCCGACATGAAAGCAAACTGCATAGAATATGTTCGCAGCTGCGAAGTTTGCCAGCGCAACAAGACAACGATACGAACACCGTTAGGTCTTTCCGACCCTTGCCTATTCCAACCGGACCCGGAGAATCTGTTTCCATAGATTTTATGGATACCGAAGTCAGGAGTATCCATGCCAAAGCCAAGTCATGGTCATAGTAGACCAATTTAGTAAATATGTTGTTTTTGTACCACTACCTGTTGAGGCAAGAACCGATTTAGTTATAGCGAAGAGTTTTGATTTCCGGGTAAGCGAGCATGGCATACCTCTGTCAATAGTTAGTGATAGAGACACGCGGTTTACCAGTCAGAACTGGCAAGATCTTATGAAAGTCTATGACTCTAAGCTACTGATGTCGTCAGGCCGTCATCCAGAGACGAATGGCCGAACAGAGCAGATCAAGTAAACTGGGATGAGATGCTTCCCCAAGGTAGCTAGGGCTTATAACAACAGTGTACACCTGCCTACCTATCGAACTCCTAACGAGCTGCAGAAGTCCTTTAGACCACGTAAGCCGTTTGAAGGACTAAACCGGGACCACATTCAGAGGTTACCTCCCGATACCAGAGAGTTTGCTTTGCAGCACGAAAAGGAAGTCGCTAAGGTGGTTGAAAACCTTAGAAAGGCCCATCTTCGCATGATTGAGCAAGCAAATAAGCATCGTCGACCTTCAGAGTTCCAGGTAGGCGACCTAGTCTGGGTCAAGTCAAAGGAATTCGCCCCAGAAGAAAACATCTCACAGAAGCTCTTGCCCGCGTACAGAGGGCCATGCCCTGTCCTAGAAGTCAAAGGAGGAGAGGACGGACCACCGTACACCATAGAGATACCACCGCACCTCCATACGTATCAGGTCTTCCATGCATCAAAATTGTTGCCGTGTATGACCAGCGAGCAGTTTACTTCGCGGACATCTATGATACTGCCAGATATGGATGGCACATACATAGACCGCATAGTGGAAGAAGACGTTTCTAGGACTGGAGGTTGGGGTCGTCCCCAAAAGCAATATAAAGTTAGGTTTGCTTATCAAGAGTCTGAGGACGACAAATGGTTCACCAGAATTGAACTCCTAGAGACCGCTCCCGACATAGTACATGCCTATGAGAGAACAAGAAAGGGTAAAGGTCCTGCCTTGGATTAGAGAGTTCTCAGAGGACCTCGAATTTAGGATGGCGGGAGTGAAACGGTCTCACCCAGATTGCGTGTGCGTGGGACATCCAGGGTAGATCCTAGGGCGTGTGCATGAGTGTGAGTGTGTTGGGTGGTGGATACAGTGTACGAATGAGACTTCAGTGTACGAATGAGACTTCAGACAGGCGATCAGTCACCATAGCTGCAAGTTGTAACAAGTTGGCTTATACTGAGTACTGGCCAAGGGCCATATCTCTGAGTTTTCTGTGTGGGCGCTGTGCGCCATCTCACGCTTGTTGTTGATTCTGCCATCAGTATCTGTATGCATGCATGTTGGAAGTGAAGCTGAAGATGAGTTTGATTTCAATTGGGACTCTGAGAGAGGTATAGAGGTCCACAATTAGATGCATACAAGACGATCATCAATAAAGAATGAATGAGGAGATATGCTCAGTACCACACACACCAAGACTATCATCCTTTCATACGCTCGAGTCCTGACATAATTAACTTGTCCCCGGCTGCCTCGTACATACACAACTCCACATTATATTGAAGACTGCGAATCCAATGTTCAGAAGTGCAAAGCTCGAATCCTGTTGGATACGAAGTTAGATACAAACTAATTTCAAAGATGAGCAACGTAATGCATCCAGGCATTGCTATATTGTCAGATTTGCAACATTCCTTGCAAATGGGAGAGCAGAATAGCCACGGTCGCTCACTCGGAGACATTTTGACAAACTCACCGCTTCCGTCTTCGGCATCGCCACTGAAGTCGAAGTCCAGAACACTCTTAACTCTTGAGAGAATGCCTTTTCCAGGGCCTCCTGGGGCATCATCGAGACTGCCGAACGAAACCCCTGTAGTCTACATGCTCCCATCAAACACATCCCAAGATTGCGGAGTCCAAACATCAAGAAATTGGAAATCAACTTTACAGTGCAGGCACCATGAGTCACGAGTCTCATGACCACCTCCTCTGCGTGTGTGTGTTATATCAGAGATACACCAAATCAACCTTAAGCCATCCCAACATATCACCTCTCATAATCACAGTGCAGGCACACCGCGCCTCCATGGTTGACCGCCTAATGCCTATAGGCCCATCTGTGTAATGTGCCCTTGCACACCCAAATATGAGCAGGCAAAGAAATCAGCCCTCGAACAGCCTCAAGGCTCAAACCCTAGTCGGTGCAATTTTCACGCAGCACAGGCATATCGATTTGCAGCATAGGACGCTCATAATTACAAGAGGCCACACTGATAGGCTGACGCTTTTCTCTGTCTAATCTCCCCCACTGCTCTTTCAGAAACATTTGCTTGCCGGTGATAAGCAACCGGACTGATGCCCCCCAGAATAGAAGGGGCTGTGTTTGTTGGTTTCAAAAAAAAAAAACAAAAAAAAAACAACATGGCAAGAGACATAACCATCAAAAGCAACCTGGTCATCAGTAGTCCCTTTTCTCCAAAGAATGCTCACAGAAATTGCACCCCATGCTCAACACTCTCTGAGCCCAACCACAAGCTGTTTTTTTCACCTTCTTTCTGGGTGATAAAACAGGTCCTTGTGGCCCTGCCTCCATATCCATTCTGCGGACCATCAGTGCGGTCCTATTCCACTCGCAAGTCGAAATAGTACGCTACATCAGTTACACACACACACACACACACACACACACACACACACACGCACACACACACACACACACACACACACACACATCCTTCAGTTTGGCCGAAGGATCCCTGACCAACATTGACTGGTCCCTGCTACAGGAGGATTGACAACAGCCGTTCCTCTCAGGTTCGATCTGTGGACCTGTCAGCTTTGGCTGTCCCCAACCACAGGGATTCTAGTCAAAGACACCAATCAAAATCCTTCACATCTGTCCCTTAGACTATCCCAGAGAAAGAAAAAAAGGAACCCGGTCTAATAATATATGCACTTTATTATGCAGCCTTATCCAGGACATGAGACTAGCAGCCAAAGTACCCTGCACACCCAGCAAGCCATGTGCAGGGTGTGCAGGGCGAAATGGACATCCCACATAAACCTCTTCCACAGCTAGAACTGTCTGAGTATGGCTACCAGCCCGTGACACGAATCAGGAAAATGAAGCCACACAAATGCCATGAAAATCCGCATGACAGCAGGAGCGTCACTCCTCAAAAAAACAGAACACACTGGTTCCAGTCAAATTGTTCTTGAGTGAAACCAGGGTTCTAAGCAGTAGTTCTCCGGTTATTGTGCGGAGTTCCATGGCATTTGCAACCACTCATATAGTGTTTGATATCGTGCCCAGTTTCATGTCCATGGGCTGTCCACTCTCTCTCTCTCTCTCTCTCTCTCTCTCTCTCTCTCTCTCTCTCTCTCTCTCTCTCTCTCTCTCTGTGTGTGTGTGTGTGTGTGTGTGTGTGTGTGTGTGTGTGTGTGTGTGTGTGTGCTCACACAGATGTCTGTGGGCGTGTTTTTTTGTGAAGCTTCACCGTTTGATTTCATCGAATGCGAGTTGCTGTGTGTGCAGATTCTGGTCTTGGGTGTCATTTCATTCCCTTTGTCCTGTTTGCAGACTTTGAGCTCCAACTAGCACCCACTCCAAATCAGGTCAGCATGCGTTAGCACCACCAATGTCATGTCCTGGGGAAACTGAAACAAAGGTACCAGCTCAAGCGTTGTCTTGAAGACCCTCAATGCTCGCCGTCTCTCTGGCCCATCTGGAAAGACCTGCGCGAAGGAAAGGCAAACCCGCTTTGTGAGATTTTCATCAGGAATGCTAACAAGTCCACCCAGGACTCACAGTACCATAGCACTTTCCATAATGCATCTGACTGCAGTTAGGGCAAGACCTGGATGAATCTGGCAGCAATCACGGCCAGAGTTTTGTGGAAAAAGTAACAGTGTGAGCCGCTGAGCCCGGGACATGATAGACATGAAAAAAAAATGTAAACTACCGTCTTCCCCCGAACATAACGCATATGCGTTGTAAACGAATACAAGTTATACAACACATAGGTTGCTTTCTATTTGAAAGGCATATGAGTTCTACTCGAACAGCCCTGATTTTTGAATACAAGGAATATGTGCAAGGAATATGAGCGAGAGCAATATACAGAAAACCAAGTTGCAAAATCATGCAGAAGCCCAGATAGTCATGTAACAAGCGGAGAGCTCAAATGCACCAAGATTCCATCCAAATAAGAGCAATACAATGAACTCGTGAGCCAATGTTCAAGCCCTCACGCCACACCAACACAATATTCAATGTCACTCCTCTCTGTCTGGCACCCAGCGCCCAGCCTACTCTACCTGTCCTATCTATCCTACCTACGTTCATTCAACAGGCTCACTTCGACTATGAAGACCAATGTACATGTCATCAACACCAATGCCGATCTCCCACATACACCAGGTACGTACTCTCGTCTCCCTCATCACCCCCTGACCACCCACTTCTGCGCCTCCTCCCAAAGACACCCGTCGCCCTCCTCTGCCTCACGCCCTGCAGCCCGGCTATGGCCGCTAGCGCCCCGCTGCCCTGCAGCGCCCCTCACCTCTCAGCGCCCGCGCGCGCCCCAGCCAATGCTAGCGCATGCAGACACTTGCTTGCTAGCGCAGCAGCATGTCCGCAATGCCCGCCTAGGCCAGAATGCCCAGCTCTGGCCAGCCTCCCCCCTATATGGGAGAGGTTGCTGCCCTTGGACTGAGTGGGCCTGGCCGTGGAAGTTTCCAGTAGCTTCCGGTTGGGCCCCAGTGTTGCTCCCAGGCCAACTTTGACAGTTACGGGCCTGGGCCCTTTTGAGTTGGGCACACCCAGAACTTTCCAGGCTCCGATTATTTGCTTAATTTGCTCTGGCCCAAGGGGTAGATACGACGACAATGCTGCTTTCTTGTTGGCCCGTGGCCACTTCGTGATTGTCGGCCTCTCAGTGCATGTGCCCAGGGCACAACCACCCGTGTGACGGGGCTGAGGCAGAGCAGCGAGGCTGGGAGGGAGAGGGAGAGTGAGAGTACACACACACGCTCACTCAACTCGATGCAGACTTGACACCACTCGATGGACGCAGACACAAAGTGGCAAAGTCGCAAAGTCGCAATCTTGGATTCCGAACACAATGTCGCAGCAAGTCACACTGAAGCACAAGCACCGAGGCCGAAAACTGAATGCCCGAACTCAGCTTGAGTCCGGTCTTAAGTACCGGACTCAAGTTCAGTCCTGAGGGCAGAAGTGCAATTTGCCTCAGGGCTGAACTGAGAATCGAAGGTCTGAGTCTGGGCGCCAGAATGCGGGATGGCGCCAGGTATCGAAATCCGAAAGTGTCAAGGGAGGAATTTGAGAACGGGCGCCGACTGCAGAGGGCGCCAGCAGTCAGGAACCGGAGAACAGAGACTCAAAAAAAAAGATAAAATAGCAGCCTGGCGGGCGGTAACCCGCGGACCAGGGATCGAGCCCTGGCTGAGTCCGTAACACTATCCCCTTCCTCTGGAAGGCAATGTCCCCGCTGTCAAAAACCCAACGAACAACTGTGAAGGACGGGACGTAGCCGATCACTGGTCAGAAAAGGAAAGAGGGAGTAATGCAAGTAGCAGGGTAATCCTATTGAGGTTCTACAGGGATGAGGGAATCAATGCTCAAGTAACAGTGTAATCCTATTGAGGTTCCACAGGGATGAGGGAATCAATGCTCAAGTAGCTGGGTAATCCTATTGAGGTACTACAAAGGTGAGGGTAGCAATGTTCAGGGAACAGGGTAATCCTATTGAGGTTCTACAAGTAGCAGGGCAGTCCTATTGGTGTTCTACAAGGTTATAGGTTGTCAGGTTTGAGAAGAATAAAAATAATAATAATTGTTGTTCAGTGCTCAAGTGCTGGGGTGTCTGAGGGGTCTGGGAAAACAACGTCTCAGTTCTGTAACAAAGTGTCAAGACTCAAACGCAAAAAATGTCTTGAGGAAGGTCTTGGAGGGTGTCGCAGAAGTGGCAGTGAGGAAGCAGTCTTCAGCAGTTCTGTGATGTAGACGGTGAGGGCTTCAGCTTGATTGTCCCAGTAGCAGGTTGCGTCCGGTACCCGATCTGATGATGGGGTCTGATCCGGATAGCAGGTTGCAGACTGATCTTGATGTCCATGTCAAAGTTGCTGCTCCAGAAGTCTGTGAGTCCAAGGTGCCGGCCAAAGGGAACAGCATGGTGGCCAACCAGCTGTCTTATCTCCTTGTATTGAGCTGCAGCATGCCATCGTCCTCGTGCGCTTGCCATTAGATCCTTTATTGCCAGCGACGCGCAGGGGCCACAAGTAGGACTTGGGCAAGAGAGACAGAGATGTGGCAGAGGACAGATGGAAGAACGGGACAAGATGGATGCAAGGGCGGATCAGACAGAGGGAGGTCAAGGGGCAAGGGTTTTCCTGGGTACAGGGGATGTGTGTAGAGCAGGACGGCATGGTTGAGGCAGGGTCCAGGCGGGGTTTAGGCAGCGTTTCGGCATAGTGGGTAGCTTGCATATAGGATGGGCGCGATCATAGGCGCGAACAAGGTTCATGGCGTTGTTAAGGTTGGTAAGAGCTTCCCATGTGGATTCTTCGTCAGGGTATCCTGTCCATTTAACTTTGTATTCTGTGATTGGTTCATGGTGGTCAGATACCTGAGTAGCTCTTTGTCCTATGATGGCTTCGACGACGAATTCAGGGCCTGTGGGTAACATGATTGGTAATGGTCGAGGATATGGGCGGTCAGCGAATCGGGGTGGGGATTCATGGTATTCTTTTAGGTATTCTACGTGGAAGACAGGGTGGACACGACTCATGTCAGGAGGGAGTTGTGAAACGGTTTTCACCTTTTAGCAGTAGCGGATGCAGTACCCAGGGTTCGATCCCTAGACCTCACCCTATGTGGCATACTGCATAGCCACACGGGCCCTGCAGGGCCCGTCCCGGACATTCAGCCTAAAGCCTAAGACTTAGGGCTTACAGGCCCCGTTCGTTTCAGCCTGGATGCTGAAAAACGAGGGCCTGCAGGCCCTACCCCGTTTCAGCCTATTTCTGGGTCTTTTCAGACCCAGAGTTTTCAGCCTGAAACGGAGGGCCATTTTCAGGCCCTCATTGTTTCGACCTGCCCCTAAGACTCAGGCACATAAACAGGGATGCGGAACAGGCCAAGAATAGCCTGTTCCCCACGCCAGCTCGAGCAGGAGCTGCAGCTGCAGCCCCTGCCTCCCTTCGGCATTGGCAAGAGCAGCCTCCTGGACTGCTCGCCTGCAGTCAGGAGGCAGACCCGAGTAGTACATAGGAGAGTCCTAGGCACTTCACGGGTAGGTAGTTCAGTAGGCACGAGGTAGTCTTCAGGATTCGGCCGCAGCACTCAGGAGGAGCGCTGCAGTAGTCTCCAGCGCTAAGTAGTAGTAGCACTAGCTGTAGTCTTCGGCGCTGGGCGCCATAGCTGTAGCTGTAGTCTTCAGAGCTGGGCGCTGGTAGGTGGTAGATCGTAGAGTGGGAGAGAGACTGGCGGAGGCCAGTGCTACTTACCTGTGGCGCCATCGCTCCAGCTCCATCTTCGTGGTACCTGCATCAAGGCGCCAACTTCACAGGTTAGTACTGGACACAGAGAGAGAGAGAGTTCTTCTTCTTCCTCTTCTAAGTCCACC